CTCATGATGAACGAACGTGAAGAACCTGGTCATCTTTGAATGGAGGCTTCATCTGTACGACCTTTCGCTATCGTACTCATTCTCCATGTACCTTGCAGAAGGAAGAGTAATTCCTGAGGAAAACTGTGCTAAGCAATGAGCACCCAGAAATATTCGGGGACATTCGTAGTAGACTATGCGTAAAAGTTAATTCAGCCCAAAACATGATCAAAAACACGATTTCCATGAAGTTTTTATTCAAAAGTGACCACGTTTGCAGTGACGTGCCCAAAAAGTTGAGGTCATCTGTAGACCGCCCATTCCCAGTCCTGTAACTCAAACTCATTGTATCTCACCCAGGAATGGATCTTGACGTGGCTGACACACCGGTTCTGTCCCTCGTCAGTTCATTTACAATTGCAGTGACAAACACTTAGTCATAACAAACTGTCGGTTATCAAAACGGATAGACGAGAACATTCCAGAGGGGTTGACAACAGAAAAACCGCTGATCAGACGATCGCAGGAAACATGGCGTCATCTGTAACAAAATATCTCATGACAAAATGGTGCACAGTTGACCCTGATTCGTCTTTCAAAACAAAATTGTCAATTAACCCTAATGCTAGACTATCGGCAATTGAAGTTAATTACAAGGGGAAACTATGCAATTCACTCTTGGTCATTTCGCTGTAAATGTACGCGTTTGTACTGCAGCCGAGGTGAGTTTTGCGATCAGTGAAACATCAACCATTGGATTGTGCCTTATTTACTCAATTGCTTTAGTACCACAAATAAGGTTATTCATTCCATTAGGCCACCCGAGTTGGCGTGCACAAATGCTGTTTGTACAATCAATCGACTTACCGTGGAGTTTCCCTCACACCTCAATGTCTAGTGATCTTTGTTCGTCAAAGTTTATTCACCATGATTGTCCAACTGAAGTTACGATATATATGCCAGCTTATTTTACGTCAGCGATTGAGGAGATTGAATGAAATGTTAACAAGTTATGCTCTTGATCCTATGTGTTCGAAACTGGATTGTGAGGGTAAAACTGATTCATCTGCTCACTAACTATAAAAGTAACGGGGAAGAATCTGCAGAGCTTTTTATCGAAAAATCAATGAGACGGTAGTCAGGTGCATCATTTCTACACATGTTCATACTGGCTGTTTGACAAAACGGAAAGAGCTGCAGTCTCCCTTATATGTGATCCCCATTCTCTTCCATTGAATTTCGACTCAATTTTCCTCCGGTTTTCAGAAATAATCTCCATTCATATTCAAACTAGGATTTTATGCTGTGATTTTTCCGTCTCACACCGGACGCTTCGTTGGGTCCACCCACGTTTTACTTTTGCACAGAGTTCCAAACCATCGGAGGTGTGAATACTACAATGAGCTAAGGTGGACGTAAGTAATTTGGCTTTTCCATTCTTGATCGATTTCAAAGTCAGGCAATCCGGCTGACCAACAATTTATTTTTAATCTCCAATCGTGTTTCCTTCGCTGAGAATTTGCTTCATTGCCTCCATTAAACCGATACCATGTCAGTTTTCATTCTTTGATGATGCTTTGATGATTCTGCCTCCCTCATGCATCTGCAGTTCTTGAGACCAGGTGTCTGCACTAAAAATGTGGGGCTCCCATATCTGGTCATCTATGCTTCTATGACTGTAAAAGTTTGGAGGATCGTTATGCTTTTTGTATTTAACCACCTCGTAATCGGGGTTAACCGATTGGTTCCTATCTCAATGCTTGTCAAGTAGGTACGTTTGCATTATGTCCTTCTCTAAAGACAATTTAAACATAAAAATGTTGAAAAGCTCTTTAGATGATTGTAGATGGGGAGTTCAACTGATGAGGCTAAAAGTGGAATGACTTGTGCGGGGAAGATACAAATAGTTCAGTTTACATATTGACTTAATCACACAAATAATTGTTTCTACTGTCTTTTTGATCAGCGCATACCAGATACTGAATTAGGGAGTTTCTGTGCAAGCTAAAGTAATCGGTATTTAGGGCCAGTGGAGGGTGCGTGAATGATATTTAAAAAGACCGGTACGCATTAGAAAAAAGGGTTCCCAAGGAGCTTCGCATATCCTTTCACATTAAGCCATGCCCATGTTACTTAATTTTCTAGTAATGCGGAACCAGGTAGTCCGAATGGGGGACTTATGATCAATGGATCACTACATATATTCGCGAAATTCTCTGTGTCCCTATTTGGAAAAAATATCGGGGAGCACCATAAGCAAAATGATGTAACCCAATGTTGAAGAAAAGTGTAATTAACTAACCATCAAACACACAAATATCTGAGCTTGTGAATCTCATTCAATCGCAGCAATTTCCAAAACATTCTGTGATTTATCTCCTCTGGTGACCGGTTTTGGTCGAATACGCTTGTTGGCATCTACGCTTCCTGCCGTTCCTCAAATATCCTTCGTTAATTTGCGTGGGAACCACTTGCCTTGTTACTGTATCTCCGATTATTTTGAATCAAAAATCTCATTGGCTTCCTCCCCATTATATTTTGAGTTATGGAACAGATGAATAAGCTGTGGCTTTAACGTGAGGCTTTACACTTCTGCAATTGAGAGCATAGTTTTTAACCGTCAGAACAGCAGTAGTGGGCTAAATTTCAATTGATAATCACCTTTCTATTCAGACCTCGTTTTCATGGCACATACTCATATCCGAACAAAAACACATTCTGATTTCAATCACGTGTTATTCGGATGTTTGGTGTTTTATTGGTATCGGTTATTTGCAATCAGAACTGGTTGAATATAACACAAACTTATCTCACCTCGTTTGGTATTCCACTTCATCCGGTTTTAATCCCAAAACTGAAAATGCATTAAATGTATTTTTACTCTAAACCTTTCCCCATTTTCGGTTTAATTCATTATCCACCAAGATTTAGTCAGGCTAAAGTTTGAGTTTCTCTGCGGTGGTATTGTTAAAATGCTTCTTAGTTTACCTTTGTGCAATTCTGTACAATTTGGTATCGCATGGGGCAAAATGCACATTGTCAGTATCACAGGTGAATGAATTATCGGTACAGTACAGTAACTGGTCACCTAAACTTTAGATCAAAATAGGGATCGGCAAGATCCATCGTATCACGTTTGTTCAGATTTCATCTTGAATGACAGTCGGTTATAAATACATGGAAAAGATATGAAGTTTGATGATATGTGAATTGGGCTGCTCTACAACGTCGCTTACCAGCGGCCCGAACAGTGGCCATCCCACTGGCGATTTGTCCTGGCGCTTCAGTTGTCACAGCCCTAAAGTTAATTTAGTATTATCATTGAAAATGCCCCTCCTCATGGTCTTGTGACCCAAACCGAAAGTGGTATTCAGTGACCCTATTGCACCGACCATCAATTAAGCTTCAAGATAAATTTGAAAACTGAAATGAATATAGTAACATTCTACGGTAAATATTACGAAAGATTTTGCAGCATCTTAACTGCGATCTGAACACAAGTTCTCCGTGGTGATAATTTGGTGACACTGCTACCAGTCCACCATAAATATACACTAGCTGAGAAGTAATAAAAGCATCCAAGGCACAATTTGAAAAATGTGCCTATAAATCTGTTAAAAATTTTAAAAACTAAAAAACAAAGTTCAGAGCCAACTGAAATAATGAAACAATTCAAACAGCTCCTCCGTAATCAAATGGGTAGAATATTCGAGTTTTTTTCTATAAATTTACGAACTGAGGTAAGTGATTCGAACAAATAAAAGATAGAGCAACAATTGCGAAAATAGAGGCTGCTTTAATAATAGTCTTACGTGCGACCCTCTCCATGATAAATTCTATCTAAAAAACCCAACAGGAGCAACCAATTTCCCGTCATTGTAGATACTTATTGTTCATGAATGTTATTGGCTTTTCAATTCCCACCCTACCCAGTTTTCACACTAAGTAATCACGAAGTCCTAAACAGAGTGTTCTAGTGAAATAGTTCTGGTGATAGATAGTCCGTTTTCTTCCATAAGAAAATTAGGAAGAAAACGTCTTGAATTCAACTACGTACAAACGACTGGCACTGAACATGCTGAGTTGTTTAAGATGTGGGCAAATGCTGCAAAACACAGAGAGAAGGTTGGTGTTGGGGATTTCTGCGAGCAGGAAGTGTTGTTCGCAGACGTTTCGTAGCTAAGCTACAGCAGCATCATCAGTGCGACTGACGATACTGCCTAACTTAGCTAAGAAACGTCTGCGAACAACACTTCCTGCTAGCAGACCTCACAGACACCATTATCCGCATCCCGAACTACAATCATTTCACATCGTTTCCATGAAGCGAAGGTAATTAGCACGGTGATTTCAGGTAGGAATCTGTTGTATCCCTGTTATAAATTGATCAAGAGCTAGTCAAGTATCACCAGAAAGTGTAGGAATCGAGAATGAGGAAATGAGCTTGGCCTTTGCTCGTGTTTTGCGTCAGCCAACCTCAAAATGAACGTTAAACGGATTTTATGTGTTTGTTATCAACATTGGTTATTTTGATCCATCATTTCTTGGCTGAGTTCCAGTTCAATCTGTTATTTTTCTGTAAGAACACGTGCAATGGAATATGAGAATAAAGGTGTCCAAGAAATACATCCGTCAAAAAATGGTAATTGACATTGGGAACATAAATCATTTTTGTCAGAAAATGTTTTTGTAATTTTTCTGATGTCCATAAGATAATCGAACGAGTTTCATATAGTGTTTAACTCTCACTGTCTGATTTATTCATTCTCATCTTAATACAAAGATCTATCCAGTTGATCAATTGTGGTATTATTGTTTTTACTAATAGTAGTAATATTATTAGTAGCAGTAGAGTGTAGTTCACATTACCATCATGCAACATCCACATATTAATAAGTCTGGCGTTGATATTAGTGATAGAAACAGGTTGTATCCGTACTACTGAGTTAATCCGAATTATTCCCATAGTTTTGGAAAACGAACAATCTTACTTCTAATCTTGGCAATCATTTATGATGTTTTCATTGAATTCGGACTACATGCAAGCGATAACTCACTTTGAAGCTTTTCCCACTGAACTGAGGCCATAACATCCGAGAGGAGTGTCTGCCCTGAATGCGCTCAGTTGTTCCAACTGGAAGTCGATGTCTTTTAGACGAAACGTTAAAAAGCAATCGTATGGTCTGTGATCCTGGGCGTTCACGAATATGAGCCAATTTGACCCAGCTCAGTTCCAGTCCGCACTGGTTTAACAAAGCTTCAGTCAAACTTGCTGCGACCGGTGAAGCGTGACCACTGGCGGTTGGATGTAGGGCACTGGCCACGAAATCAGACACCGTTAACTGATCGATCGGTTTCAAAGAGCAATTGCTCAGTCGAACCACTCGAGGAGCTTCCACAAGATTGAATGTTGATTCGTGCAAGTTTTCTTGAGCAGGAAGAGCACCGTCACTAGCCCTGCATCCGAACTTTTTCCCCTGGTGAATGGGGAGTGGTGCAGGTAACATTTGATGGATTGGTTTACCTAGGCTGCTTGCCCACAAGTCGTGATTAGGCAAAATTGAAGGTCTGTGACGTAACAGTATGGAATCAAAATCGGGAAACGGATAACCAAATGCGTTTCGTTCCAAACCATTGTCATTTCGGTGTAGATCATCTCCCTTGGAATATAGTGGAAAACCAGATTTGCTCGAGCTAATCAAATGTCCCTTTGCTTCTAGCGATTTCGAAGATGCCACAGTTAAGTTCAAACCTGTACCAGGGTGCCCAAATAGGCTGTTTTGCTCCCCCGGTTGTAAATCTGTTTTGATACGTATTGAGGCAATCTCACTTGATACCGTTGTTATTGAGTTTGTTGATAGTGCTGCCGTAGGAGTTATTGTAGAGGACGAGGAAGTAGATGACGATGATGATGCATTTGCTGTTTGATCAGACATGACTCGATCGGCATCTAATGTGGGAATAGAAAGATCAACAGTAGACGAATGGTTCAGGAAGTGGTTGTCATTTGTGATTCCTGTGTTGCTTGTGTCGGGGTTGTTCTGGTGCATGAATACGGTCATGGCCAAACGATGAAGATAAGCTAAGTGACCAAGAATGTTTGGATTTGGTGGCACAAAAAGAGCTTTCTCCGTTCCCATAACAGATTTAGCCGAAGTTTGATGTATGAGACCAGGAAAGATTTTGTTGATTTGTTGAAGTAATGGAAGACACGGGAAGGGCATCCCGTCAACCTGAGGTGTGTCTGGACTGACGAAAGACGGGAGATGATGATGAGTAGCGGAGTCATGCATGGTTTCCATTGAGATATTTGATACTCGTGACCTGAAACGATGCCGTACGTCTCCATCCATCAGATGAGGATGAGCCATGGAACCTGGTGATGCAATTGCACAATCCAAATTCCGTACGGCTGAAACCTGTTCCTTGATCAGCTGATTCCGGAAGTGGTCGACCAAAAACTGAAGTGGTGTAGTCCGCTGATGTAACACGTGAGCATGATCCAGTGAATTCGGTGAGAAAACGGTACTATACTTTTGCCACAACGGTGATAGTGAGTCTGGTCCTGGTTGCATGAGCTTATTCGTCCGACTTGAAGCGGAGTTATTTTACAGAGTATAGGGCTACGGTTGAAAAAAATGGAAGGATGGCATGAAATCTGAGGGTACAAACATACGCTTAGAATAATATTCTTACTCCCTAGGTAATCGGTTATGAAGGGAATTCTATACATAGCTAAACTAGCTCATGTTGGAACAAATTAAAGTTCCATTGCTCTTGTATGCTCAAACCCTGCGAACCATATACTTTAGGGGAAGAGCGATTGGTTCTTCTTCTATAAGGAACGCGTTCTGGTTGGATGTAAATTTGCATCGTTACTGGATATCAAGTAGAATTTCTTCAGTTCATGCATGTAAAAACATTTCGGATTTATTCGTTCACATGCGATTGCAACTTTGTGTTGGAAGCAACTTTGCGGATGTAATTTTTTATAATAACTGATCAACAAAATAGTGCTATTCATTTTATGATGCATTTCACTCCCCGAACTATGTATGCTTATGTTGCACCGTTTCTGCTTCCAACGACACATCCAAGATTGCTTTCTCTGGCGTGTGTAAGCGAAGTATCCCCAAACCAGTTCCATCTTCGTTCAGAGTTGACACAACCAGAAAATGAATGCTTCACAAAACTGAAAGATCTTGACAACTTGGTTATCAAAACAAGACCAGCAGTAGGAAAGTGGGTCACTATGTCTGCGGTCCGTGTATGTGTTTATGGTGTGTGCATATGATGGCTTCATCATATCCCCACCTCATCCAGGGAGCTAGCGTTTGTACGTGTCTACAAAGGCAAGATGTCACACACAGAGGTCCCCCCCCCCAAAGCCCAAATCCCATCTATGCTACCACGAGCGAATCTAGGTTGCTCCGTTCTCATAATTTCGGTGGGGTATTATGGTTGGTCACTGGGTCTCCAGTTTGGCCGGCCCAGATACAAAGTAGCGTGTGCACACATCCCGTATGTGTACGCGTGTTATAAAAACAACTCCGTGACGTGCATCGGGAACGTCATGCACTCCACATTTCGGATAAATAATGAACTAGAACTGATATAGCAAAACCTAATTAAACAATAGACCATCATAGAATAGTCAAAACCATTGTGTAAATTACTTCTGAACGGTTTACCGATAGATCAGATCGTTCAACATGTGAGCTTTCAAAATATTCTCGCTTCTGATCATTGAGTATCAATTATTGTTCCAAAACTGTTGACCAGAAGCCCCGCTTCACAGTGTTTACTCATTACAAGCCGGCGTAGCGGAATGCAATGTGGTCTATAACCACTGATAACAGTGGTGAAAATTCAATTCATTTGGCTTCCAATGAGGCAATCCGCGTGGTTGTTTCACTAACCTTATGCTCTATATCTGTTGCTTTTTACGGGATATAGAGTCACTCGTAGTGCGGCGCAGTAAACTGACTGACACCAGGTGACACCACGTGCTACACGGAGATCAAAAGAAAATTGTGATACATGCGAGAAAATCGTTCAATCTTCCATAGCCAAATCAAATAAGTTCTTCGATAAAGTGTGTGGCATTCGACCGTAGGAAGCAAATTAAGCTCCCGTATGACAGTTTTAATAGTGATAAGTGATAGTGATAAGAAAGTACGATCACAGCATACTGTCATTCAACCAACTGCACTCGAAGCTTGTACAGCGTAATACAGTGAAGCAAACTTCAGCGATCGCTGCCAAATTCAGAAGCCAAAAGAAACGAAATGCTCCTGTCAATATGTCACTTTTATAAACCATTTGTGTTTAGGAGGAGGACTAAACTGGATGCGTCGACTCACAATTCGTGTGTTCGAACCGCGTCGGTGCGGTTCTACTTGCACAAGTTCAGTAGTGGTGTTGGATTGCCGGCGACCCCCTTCCTTTTAGGATTTGTGTAGACCAGACGAGTAGCGTCTAGTGGAGAATGTGTTTACGTTCGCAAGTACGTTCTGACGAAACGAAATCGGAGGAAGTAGAAAGTAAAGTGAATGCTAACGTGCCAAGTTTTAGTTAGTCAAATTAGGTTTTATCTTTTAACAGAGCATCTAACCATTTTCGCAAGGCAATCCGAACATCAAGTATGCTGAGATTTTCCCTGTATCAAAAGTTCTATTTATACCACATTGATTGAGACCGAGGTTAAAATAGACGGAACGCCGAAACGGATATACTCTTATTACTAACATTTCTTTGTTGTCTCTTTTTTTTATTAACTTCGGTGAAATAAAATATCTTGTTCTTCTCTATGATGCCTATACATTGGTTCAAATTGAATTACACCAATGAAAGTTGATAGCACTATTGATATGATTAATATTGTTAATAACTGGCACTTTTCAGAAGGTGTGACCAGAATGGTAGTTAGACTCAGATGTCCAAACATAGAACCGGCGTGGTTCTGCTCAGAATTTGTTCTTCTGCACCATTCAAACTTTACAGAGCAACCCAAGTTACTCTCTCTCCTACAAAGAATTACTTATCACACGGGATTTACAATTGTAAAAACCAGAACAAATCAAATAACACTAAATCCCGATGTATATTAAACAATTTTAGATCAAACGGATCTGTTTTGTGCGGTCCGCATTGAATACAAATGGAGTTAAATCTGAAGATGAATGGCATAGCAGTACGGCAATTTTGTATATGCTTACTGTGATAGGAAGCTATTTTCACATACAGTCTACTTTACAATAGGGCAAAACTAGCGGCTTATTCTTAACCAATATCGCAAAAACTTACTTCTGTTCAAATTTGGGCGGAAGATCCACTCGCGGTATGTATAGGCCAACCTACTGATTGTAATTATGTTCTGTTCATTAGGGTCCCACGAATGCAGTGACTCTCTTCCCCGAGTGTCGATTTCACCTTCAAATTTCCTCTCCCGAAGCAACTTACTCCTCCCCCCGTTCCGTACACTACGAACATTGTGGACTTGGTTTCCCCGAGTACAACGGAAGACATTCACTCCAAGTAAGAGAGTTGTGTCCTCGGGACTGAACGTGTGAATGCGTGTTTTCAGTGTGTATGTGTGCGTATGTGCGTGTGCGTATATGTACGTGTGCAAGTGGGCGTTCGTTAGTCTTCATGGGATTCTTCCTACCCTAATCGGCTTGATTTTTCCCTACGTTGGACTACTACGGTTCTCTCGGTGTGTGCGTGTGTGTGACTTGGTTAACATGGTATCTATCCCCTAACGGACTATCCCTGAGATAGGGACACACTAACGCACAAATACGCATGAGTTAGTGCTACGTTTGCGTATCCTTTCACAGACAAGCTACCAATCTGATACCCGTCGCATAAAAGCAAAACAGAATGGAAACACTGGATTTGGTTGGCTCACCAAGTCGCAGGAAACGTAAGTTGGCACGTTGACAAACATACAGCCACGTAAATTTCTGACCACATTTCATTCACGTGGTTCTTTCGCTTGCGGTGCACGTGTGTGCATGTTGGCACGCACAAACGCAACAGTCCTTCCAGAATGGAGCAATGATGAAACCGAATTGAACATCTTCATAGTAAATCATTGTTGATGCGATTAGTTGTTTTTCTTCCCCAAAGTGCAATTCACTTTGCTCTGGTACAAACCAAATGACTTGGGAGGAGTGTACACATTGATCTTTGCTCCTAATACAACCTGAACTTCAACCCGCGAAATAAGATCCATTGGTGTAGCCAGAACACACAACAGCCTTACAACTCTTGCAGTTTGGATACGATGAGAAAAACCGAGAACAAGAACGGATGGGCATTTCAACGCGATATTTCGTTGGATCTAGGGAATCATATCTTGACCACCATTGCTAATGAACGCTGCGGCAAAGTCGCCGAATCTGATAAAACGAACCCGGTGGATGCATTTATAACATAGTTGAGCAAAGAACAGAGAAAGATTAAATCTATACCTTAAAGGCGATGCTTCTGGGTATTTGCCTCGTCAGTACTTCTTCATTCGCCTTAGATAATACGAATGGATTTCGTTAGATATATGAGGCGGAATTTTATGCTCCACTTCATTTCTACTTGTAATCTGTAAGGGAAAGATGGGAATTGACAAGTTGGTATGGGATGAGTTCATCGGATTAGTTTCAAAAAACTGTCTCCAGACATTTACCATTTTGTGGACGAGCGAACTTCATTACAAAGCGTGCAAAGAAGTAACAGTAACAACCTCAACAACAAGAATAAATGATAAAAAAATCATATCTTGACCTTTTCCGGCAGTGTTTTACTTAGTGATTAGTTTCCGTTTCCTCTAATCTATATGAAACATCGATGAAAATGTTTAAAATAATCCTTTCCTTACCTTATCCATCTCAGAAGTCAACATTCTTGAAGGTATGATTTTTCTTCTGTGAACTTCACCAATTCGTTATTCTTTGTTCTGAAACCGACCCTCCTGTGGAAAAAGTGGTTAAATAGTCGAGTGTGCAATCTTGGTTGTTTGGCTGTACCACCTCGGTAGTGGTACTAACTAACTTCTAAGAAGTCCACATATTTTCATGAACTTCCACATATGAAGGTAAATTTGTTATTAGGCTGAGTGATATTGGGACACATGATAAAGTAGCTGGCGAACAAATTAAACTCTCAACAGTTAGTAGAATGGTTTCAAATGAAATTGAGTTTCCATGAGTTTCATGAAATAAACACGTTCTTGTGTTGTCTGTGCAAACTTACAGACCCCAGAACCTGGTTCTTTTGATTGGTCTGAAAATCAATTCTCGGGGATTTCTCCGCTCGATAATGCATCTAAAATGTGACGGAATTTTCGTGTGAATACCAACGCAGTTCAGGAAATAGATGCCCCAAGTGCAATTTATTTATCTTCATGCTTATGATTTTCACAGCTTCGGTAACACCAGGAAGCGGAGATTTATTCACTTGAAATGAATGTCAATGAAAATGAGTTTCTATGTACACTTAAGTACACTTAAGTTTGGAAATCAGTTTTATTTCAACTTGCGCGAGTTTGAAAACTTTTGGCGAACATACATGCTTTTTG